GTTCTTACTAAAATTTTTCTAAAGACCATAAGGATGCAGGGGTGTCCAAACCACAGCCTGGGGACCATAGGCTGCATGAGGATTATGTGAGGACTTTTTGCTTGTCTGTCATGGTGGATATCATGAAAATTACACATAGATGTTTTATTTTGCTTAACAGCTTTCGTTAGTATTTGTGTATTGCCTAAAACTCTTCTTTCAATATGGTGTAGAGAAGCCAAAAGGTTGGACACCCTTAGGAGTATTCAGTCACACAATGGCCTCTTTTAAGTGGTTAAGGGTGCCCTACAGATCATCTCAACTAAACTGAAGAGCCTCTAGGAAGCTTAACAATATCATTCCACAGACAGCTCTGGAGCCAAGATAGAGAAGAGATTATCCCCAAAAGACTTGTGGTTATGACTTTTGTCTAGTGGAGTGATAGCCAATGAAACTTACTTAAGAACTACAAATTTCTTGGGAAAATTTTTCGGTGGCAACATTGCTACTTCCCTAAAAGGATAGAGTAGAAGAAGGATAGAGTACAGAATAAAGGAGGCCGCCGCGGGCCGGCTGATGAAAGTACTCAGCGCCATATGCATGGGATCTTTCATGAAAAAGGAACAATGATTAAGAGGGTGGGTCTCAGAACCAGAGAAGATTGTTCTAAGCATTGAACCCTAATTGAGAAAAGTTCACCATTATGACTGCTTTGTACCTTTCAATTTCTCTTACTTTGAGCAGCAATTTCTATGCACTTGTCCATTTCTGTTCACAGGCTGCCCATTCCTGGATTCAGCCAACTGTGAAGACCATAAGGATGTTTTTTTTTTTTTTGAGGCAGAGTCTCACTATGTTGCCCTTGGTAGCCGTGGTGTCACAGCTCACAGCAACCTCAAACTATTGGGCTTAAGCAATTCTCTTGCCTCAGCCTCCCAAGCAACTGGGACTATGCCCACCACAGTGCCTGGCTATTTCTTTGTTGTAGATGTCATTGTTTAGCTGGCCCGGGCCAGTTTCGAACCTGCCAACCTCAGTGTATGAGTCTGGCACATAACCACTGTGCTACGGGCGCTGAGCCTATGGTTGAAAGATCTTAAGAAAAAGAAAATGCAAATTATATAAATAAAAAGTACAGTATAGAAGCTATTTACATAGGATTTATGTTGTATTAGGAGGCATTGTAAGTAATCTAGAGATTTAATGTGTATGAGAAGATCTTTGTTATAAGCAAATACTATACCACTTTATAAGAAAGACTTAAATATCCATGGATTTTGGTATTATTAGGGAGTTCTCGAACCAGACACACACATGCATACCCAGTGAAGACTGTTATCCTATGTCTGTCCTATCACTGCATGCCAAGAATGTGGGGGCAGCAGGTAATTTGTTTCTTCAATTTCAAAGGACCACAGATGGAGCTTCCAGAATTGTGCCCAAGAGCTATACTTAATGGATTATACCCAGAACTTTGTTCTGCAACAAATTTAGATATTTAGATATGGGATTTTTGAGCTGCAAATATTTTGATAAGATTTTGGACTATTTGATGCTGTAATTCGTTGAGCCCTTGGAGATACTGGGGTAGGGTAAATGTTCAAGTGCTCCTTAACTTACTGCGGGGTTAATTCCTGGCAAACTCATCTTAATTTGAAAATATTCTTGAAAATGCATTTGATATACCTAACCTACCAAACATCATAACTTAGCCTATTCTACCTTAAATTTGATTGGAACACTTAGCCTACAGTGGGGCAAAAATCACCCAGCCACTCAGTACCCTGTGGAATGTCCTTGGTGAGGCTCGCTCACTGCTGCCTCCCAGCGTCCTGAGAGAGAACTGTACTGCATGTTGCTAGCCTGGGAAATAACCCTATTTAAGATTTGAAGTATGGTTTCTACTGAATGCATAGTGCTTTTGCATCTTTGCAAATCAGCTTTTGTTCATGTTCGCATGTTTAACGTGTTACCCAAGACAACTCTTATTCTTCCATGTGCAGCAGAGAAAAAAAAAATGTGGACACCCTGGACTCATGAAAGTCCACTTATACTTAGAAGAAAGTTAGATTCTCAGTCTTTTTTCAGTTTTAAATCATTAAATGAACAATATTATCCTAGATACATTATAAGCAGGTATTTTTTGGCCACTAAAGACTGTCATATAAATAAATTGCCCTTACTTGCTGTATGTCAGTGCAGGAAAAGAAACCACTGCAGATAGTTTAAGCATAAAGGGATTTATCACGAGAACCTGGCAAGATTACAAAATACTCAGAAGGGTGCTAGACCTGTTGGCTTGTATAACATTTCTTCATAGTTGCAATTAAGGGAATAGGAAACAGTGCTACTTTTACAGTCACCGCCCCTCACTGCATGGAGCTCTTGAGCAGTCCTGGGAATACTGTGTCTGGTCCTCACTGCAAAGGGCCTCACTGTAAGTGTCTTGCCACTTAAATGTCCCATAAATGTCAGCAGAAATAGCAACAGAAAGATGGTCTCTGCCTCACTCACTTCTGGCTACAAATCTCAGGCACATCCAATTAGTAGAAACTTAATCTCATCTAGAACTTTAGCTGTAGGAGAGGCTGGGAAATACAAGTTTTAGCTTTCCAGCATTTTCAGAACAGGAAGACATCTAGGAGGATGTCAAAATGGATGCTGAGTACCAATTAGCCAAATCCAGCCACTTTGTATCTCTACCCTTTCCCCTAGATATGTATACCACAAAATGTTACTAAATATTATTAAGAAGCATTATGATAGAAGCCATTAGAGTGTTTCGAGTACATAATAATGTGATCTGTCTTAGCTTTGAAAGGGTAACTCTTGTGGAAACTTGGAATAGATTTGACAATCAGTGATAGTAGTTTAAATTAGGCCTTGGCCATGAGGATGGAGATAGAGTAAGACAGGGATGTCTGATTGTTTTCTTAATTAAGGTAAGTTCCCACACTTTATATGGTTCCTTTGCTCACTTAGCAAACACTGAATACTTTTTAGGTTCAAGATGCTGTGATTTTGTGGATATTTACTGAGAATATAGCCGTGATTACATATTTCTTATTATGCTGGAGCAATCTATTGGTGATATAGGAATGAACTTCTTGTTTCATATTTCTTTTTATGGATTAAATTGTAAAACTATACTTATCTATACATTGTATTTATGCTTTTGTTTATGGATGATTAATTTTAACACTGCTTAGGAAGTTGTACATGTTTATTCTGTTAAAGGAATTGGGAATAGTAAAATCTTCTGTATTTTGTGCTTGACTACATAGTATTTGACTGCTGCTAATATTAAATAGTGGACAGGGTATACATATTACTTTCTAATAGGTAACATTGACATGTATCTCAAGTCCCTTAAGCAAATACAGGAATATCATATTCCCAGCAATACTATGTGTAAGATATGTTTAAGTGAAGTAAGGAAGTTAGGATACAACTTTATTTAGTAACTTACTGAAGGATTTCAACTTCATTCTGTATATTTCTGTTAAGTTTGTTTCAGTCATATTCTGCCTTTTCATTTGCTCTTGGCTCAACTTATCCATTTAAATGTATTTTTTTTTTCAGAAAAGCTCAATTTATTATGCCATTACTGTAATATTAAAATGTGTGTATGAGCTTATTAGTGCTTACTGAGTTTTAATTTTTTTCATGTGAGTCTCAATTATATTATTAAACATTATTTTCATTATAACCTTATTCTTTAATAATAGATTCCAGTCCACAAAAATTTAACTTGGTCTCCTGATATTAGTAAATATTGGAGTCACTATTAATTATTGTTAATGGTCTGTATTACCTTAAAACAAAAAATGTTTATAATCAAAGTATATAAGAAAAACAAGTCAGGAATTGATTTAAATCCAAGGTAGTGAGTGTTTCAGCTTCATGACATATGCACTGTTTATATTGCTGAAAAATTTCTTGGGGTCTTTTTAACCTGATTCTAGAACTATAAGAATTTGTTTTCCTGCATGATTTTATAGTTTCTCTTCTTCAACTAAAGTGATTTTAGTAGAGTGGATTATATTTGTAATGGATCAATTATGTATTGCTGTGTAAGAAAACATCCCCAGAATTAAGAGCCTAAAATAACCACTTTGGTCACAAACAAAGCCTCAGTTGGGCTCAGCAGGAGTGGTCTTCCCGGTAATCACTCAGGCAACTGCCATTGTCTGGCTTCTCAAATTGTGTATTACTTTTTTTTTTTTTTTTAACTAAAATAGGTCTTACAAAAAGGGAAGATAGTATCAATTATTTACCTTCAGATCAAATAAGCTGATGTAAAAGAGATCTGAAATTGTTGGAATGATAAATTTTAGCAAATGCATGCAACTTATTATAACTGTGTAGTGAAGTATCCTGTATCCTCAGCATATAGGAAGAAATAGTTCAAGTATATTGCAGAAACATTGTCTAGTTGTGTGTCCTTCAAGAGGAATGCAAGTTACGGAGGAAGATGGACCCAAGCCATTGTGTAAGGCAAGCCTGATAGGGATAGAAAGGATGGGGTATTTCAACTGAATGTTTGGAACAGAAGAAAAATAGGAGAAATAGCAGCATTTTGCCAGAAAAGAATGGTAAGCACGGGTATGGCGATAGATTAGTGTGTTTGGTGACTCCTGAGAAGTATAATAGTACTGAGGGTGATGTGGATATTGGAATCATTCCTTGTGGCTTAAAGATTAAGTTTGAGATGTGCCCAAGGTTACACAGTTAGTGGGTGACATACCCAGATTTGAAACACTATTTTAACTTCCAGACTCATCTTCTTTCATTTAGCATAGCATCATTCCATGCTATTTATTTACTATAAGACTTTATGTTGATGTATAAATTGAATTAGCATAAGTAAATATTAACCACAGTGAGTAAATAAATCTGATGATTATATATCATTTTTACTTTTCCTGAATTACATATATTATGATTAACCCTCTAATGCAGCCAAAAAATTTTACCAGACATTTTTCACATTTTCTCTCTGAATTTATTTTCTCTTACAGGGTTACGTTTTGCCATCTGCCTTTCCAGAGTAAGTGGCTCTATGTGGGCACTGAACGAGGTAATATACATATTGTCAATGTGGAGTCCTTCACACTCTCAGGCTACGTCATTATGTGGAATAAAGCCATTGAACTGTGAGTTTAGCAGATACTTCATATCTGAAAATATCAGTACCATAAATGATAATATTATATGTTAGCCAGTCGTGAAGTCCATGTTTAATTAAATATGTGTCAGGTATCCTTGATATTAGATACAGATTTATCCAGTTTTTATCAGTCTTATCCTATTGACATGATCATTTGTTAATTTAAATTTTTCAAATTATGTATGTATAAATTTACAAATATAAATATATTCAAACACAATGTAGATATGTACAGATGTAGGCACATATATGACACAAGTTTAATGAGTTATTCTTCTGACTACATGAAACATATTCTAAATTTTTCTGTTCTATTTTTAGTTATTTTTTTTCTAATGCTGATCATAACCCGCAAATGGGTTCTAGCAGTGTTCAAAAACGCTGATTAAGCTGCTACTTGACATAATAATAAACAAATACATGGAATGTGAATGTTTGCTATAGTTAACATATTATAGAATTGATTTTAAGGTTGATTTTACATAATTTTGAAACAATCATATTTACTCATTTTAACAATGAAAGCTGTGAGTTGATCAGTGTTAAATCGATCTATCTATGTTAAATTTTAGATGTCTTATGTTTTTCTACAGATTTTTTCTTATATTGCTGGGATATAAAAATCAAAGTTTATTATATTGGCAAGACCTTTTTCAGTGTTTCTTTTTGTTTTTGTTTTTTAAGATAAACAGTCTTGTATTGTTCCCTTCCGCAGTATTTTACATCTTTTTGAGATAAGGGTAATTTTGTGACATATCTTTTAAGTAAGTAATATCTTAGTATAGTTGTAATAGTGTACTAATCCTGGTTTTTATCTCAGGGACAGTATTATCCTACATCACTCTCTTGGTAGTTTGGGTTTTTCTTTTTTTGAGTTGATCCCAACTTTTAGTGGGTAGGCCTGGTTCAGGTGTCTATATAGTTTCAAATGACTCTCGTGAAGTGGAGTCTCTCAAACTTGGGAGATTCTGAACTAGGGATATGCTGTGTTTAGCATCAGTTCAGCAATATTCTTAACTAGTTGCTCAGCTACAGGCTCTCGGTGCCTGTAGCTCAGCGACTAGGGGACCAGCCACATACACCAGAGCTAGGGGGTTCAAACCCAGCCTGGCTTGTCAAACAACAATGATACCTACAACAAAAAAATAGCAGGACATTATGGTGGGCACCTGTAGTCCCAGCTATTTGGGAGGCTGAGGCAAGAGAATCATGCCTAAGAGTTTGAGTTTGCTGTGAGCTGTGATACTAGAGCACTCTACCCAGGGTGACATAATGAGACTCTGTCTCAAAACAAAACAAAAACAAACAAAAAAAACTACGTATCTTGTTATTGATCACTTGCTGAAATACTTTCTTTGTAAATATTTCTTTATTTTCTATTCGTTTATTGTTATTGTAATGAATATGTATTCATGTAGAAATTTGTAATTGAGAAAACTTATTAATGTTTTCTTTTTTAGGTCATCTAAATCTCACCCAGGACCTGTTGTCCACATAAGTGATAATCCAATGGATGAGGGAAAGGTAGATGTTTTTCTGAAAAAGAATTTATTATTTTAATGCATGAATTTTTGTATTTTTAAATAAGCAGACTATTTTAGGACCACACTTAACCCTGCAAAATTGAGATTGTTAAAAAAGGTTACATATCATATACTTGCTATTAATTTTGAAGAACAAGTGAAAGAATTAGAAGCATTTATAATTTTAAAAGGAAAGAAATAGCCTAAAGTGTAAGTCATATTTAATAAATGTAATTATAAGTTATTAATTTATGTTTGGCTTATTCAGAATATTTTTCCTGATTTCTAGTGTTCCTGATCAAAAGGGTTTGGGCTTTTTTTAGTTAGGAGTTCGTTTTAACACTTTATTTATACAATTTTTATAGCACTTATTATAGATTGCTTTATGTTAAAGTTGTTTTTATATTTCATTTCCTCTAAAGCTTTCTTTATAAATAGCTCCAATTAATAATGTAGAGCTTTTTTAAATGTTATTTTAATTTTTAATACTTTGAAGTCATTTTATACAGTCTGTATCTAGCTCCAGACTAGTTAATGCATTTAAAAGTGATACAGTTTTTTTCTATGAATCTTTGTTTACTAATTCGAACCAGTCATTCAAGTAGGTAGTTCTACTTAATAGTGTGATTTTTCTACCTATATAATTTTATAATGGTATTGGTGTCGGGAATCAATGCCATGAATGCCTCTGGGACTTGCACAGGAGTTTACCCACATTTGTCCTTTCCTCAGATGTGGGAGAGGTCAACCTATAAATTGTTTAATACCGTTCTTTTAGTTGGCCATTGGGAAAACTAAAGGATAACCAGACTGTTTGGAGTTAGTTCATAACCATAAAAGAAGTGGAGAGTCACCTAGATCCCTATTTATTTTCTTTTTATATAAGACACTTGTTTAAAAGCCAAGCCTCTGGGTGGCAGGCATCTTGGGAAAAAACTTTTCTTTCACTCTCTGTCAATCACTACATCATTTTAATCCTACATTTGATCTTTCCCTTGCTATGTCTCTTTTCTCATAGTTAAGACATTGTAATTGGTCCTTAAATTATTTCCAAATTATTCTTTCTGGACTACCATTTGAGTGTGTTCTCCTGTGCAGTGGCTCTGCAGTATCTAAAAAGTAAAATGAACTTTCTTTAAAATGTAACCTTAAGTTTCTTTATTACAGTTACAGTTTCATAATACGGACAGCTCTTTGCTGCCTCTGTGCTTTTATTTTTGTGAGTCTTTGTGTTTGGAATGGTCTCCTAACATTCTCTCTCTGCTGAATTCCTACCCCCATGTGAAAGCCCAAATGGAAATATGTATCTCTTATGATGTCTTCCCTGATAATCCTGACAGAGAATGCTTCGTCTGTGTCCATATTCCTTAGTACATATTCTTTAGTACTCTGTAGTCAGTTTCATGGTATTTATCACATCACAGACTGCCTTGAGTTAGACATGTGTACATATCTCAACTCCCCTAAACTTGAAAGAGTCCTTCAGCACAAAGGGAATATTTATATAGGCTCGTATTTTCCATAGCATCCCACATACAATAAAAGTAGTAACCACTCCATATATACTCGATTTATGTAGTAAATAAATTATATACAACTGTTTTTATCCTCCTTATTTCTTTGAAATCTTGCATTTTATTTTCTCCTTAGTTCCAAGAGTTAATCTCATCAAACATTAGAAAAAATATATTTTGCTAGAATTATATCATCTAATCATTTGTCTCTTTTCCAAAGATCCCGGTAACATTTATCACTGAAAAGACATTCGAGGTAATAGGGCAAGTTTATTCAGAGCCAACCTTACATGTGTTTGCCCCCAGGTGAAGTGACGGTCTTGGCTGCGAAGGCTATGCTTTAGTGTAAAGTGACTTACAATAGCAATACCTGTCATCTGTTGAGTTGGGTCAGGCACTGTGTGGGCCACTTACATACACTTATTTCATTTGGACCTCCTTCAAGTTGTAAGTTAGAAATTTTCTCTACTTTAGAGACGATGAAGGAGAGACCTGGTGGCTGGACGTGTTCCAGAGGCACAGAGCTGGATGTTGGTGATCTGAGAATTGATTTCTCTGATTTTAGCCCAGGAATACTCTCCATTATGCTGCATTTTCTTTCTAGTTATAGACTGGTTATTCAGGTTGTAGAGAGCTATATTCATAACCAGTGCTTTTTATAAGAGAAAATTACATAAACTAGTATCTCTGTAAGTTACTGTATTCTAGTAGGAATAGTCAATGAAGGAATTTTTTGTATTTAATTATTATATATTTAGTTTAGTTTTCTGTTTTTTTTTTTTTTTGTTGTTGTTGTTTTTTGAGACAGAGCCTCAAGCTATCCCCCTGGGTAGAGTGCCATGGATTCACAGCTCACAGCAACCTCCAACTCCTGGGCTCAAGTGAGTCTCCTGCCTCCGCCTCCCAAGTAGCTGGGACCACAGGCGCCCGCCACAATGCCCGGCCATTTTTTGGTTGCAGCCGTCATTGTTGTTTTGGCGGGTCTGGGCTGGGGATTCGAACCCGCCACCTTAGGTGTATGTGGCTGGCGCCTTAGCCAGTTGAGCTATAGGCGCCGAGCCTAGTTTTCTGTTTTTAATGTTTATTTAAAATAATTGTCTTGCTTCTGTAGATAAATAAATTAAAAAGCTAGAATATTATAGGCACTGAAGTTTAACCTCTTGGTACATATTTCTAACATTCTTTGAACGTTAGAGCTGGCTAGAGAGGTTAAAATTCACTATCACTGTAACTCTCTTAAGTTATTAAGAATTGAGTAGGTAAAATTATTTCCTTAAAGTTTCATGGCTATTAAGTGGCAGATTTAAACCTACAATTCAGATTACTTATATTAAGAGCAACTCAATGCCGTATATGTTGTAAATTATCTCTTATTTTTTTCCTTCTTTTTCCTTTATTCCTCACATTCCTCACTTCTATGTGAAAATTTGGAAAGACTGGGAAAAAAGAAGGGAAACAAATACCACTTTTTCTCAGAAAAACTGTTGCATAACAATGAAGTGTTTGGGTTAGGAAAATTGATGACACTTTCTACTTAGTGGGAAACCTACTTTGTTAGCTTCAGTAACTAGCCCTCCGTGGGAAAGTTCTCAACTAGTAAGTGAGCGTCAGAGAACATTTTCATTATCCTTTTTATTAATGTGAATAAAGTTACGTAACTGAACATCTATCTACCTTTTTTACTTCTGTGCTATCCACAGGCTAGTCAAGTATTTTTTTCATGAATGAGTTTGCTTCATGGTTTTAGTATTTTCAATGCCATTTTTTCCCCTATGGATAAATACTAGATGAAGAAACATTCTCTGATTTATTCTGATTTACATAGTAAATAAATCATATACAACTGTTTTTATCCTCTTTATTTCTTTGAAATCTTGTATTTTATTTTCTCCTTAGTTGTTTTTCTTTGGTTTTTCAGATAGGAAAGAAAATGTATGTAGCCATGCTAAGTAAAATGTTTTTAAAAAGTAGCCAGCCCCTCCAACTATACCTTGGAGTCTGAAATAGTCTGAAATCCACTAACTGGCTATTTTGTTAAAATTACTGGGTCTATCCCAAATTCCTTCATACCCCCAGATTACATAAACAGTTACAGAGTATCTACTAGTCATGTTTATATTTATTAAACAGATATTGATTGCATGTCTACTGCATACTAGGCAGTGCGTCAGATTTTAGAGACATGCAGATAAAAAAGCGTGTACTAGGCTCGGTGCCTGTAGCACAATGGTTACAGTGCCAGCCACATACACTGAAGGTGGCGGGTTCGAATACAGCCTGGGCCAGCTAACCAACAATGACAACTGCAACAAAAAGTAGCCAGATCGTGTGGTGGGTACCTGTAGTCCCAGCTACTTAGGAGGCTGAAGCAAGAGAATCACTTGAGTCTAAGAGTTTGAGGTTGCCGTGAGCTGTGATGCCATAGCACTCTACTGAGGGCAACATAATGAGACTCTGTCTCAAGAAAAGCAAAAGCGTGTACTAGCATGAGAATAGCAGCACTTTATTCTCTCTGGAGGAGCTATGTAGACTTCACTAAGGAAGTCTTGAATTTAGACTTAAAAAATGAATTGAAGATGCTCAGTGAATGAAAAGGGAGGAGATTTCAAGCGGAGAAAATACTGAGAATTGAAAATACTGGAGTCTGTGTGGGGAACTGAAGTTGGATGGGCCGTTCAGTCTGTGAGGCAGGAATAGGCATTCCGTTCTGGGATGGCATGGATTCGTTCATAGAACGTTTTTTACAAACATATCAGTCCCTGTGTCATGTTAGAAGTGTTGTGATGAACAAGATGAAACTAATCCTTGCTCACTTGTACCAGTATTATAATCTGCAGAACAATTCAAGTATAGAGAATACCATTATATTGGTGGTGACTTTTCAGATTACAAACGTCCTGTTATTGGAGCACACAGGAAGGGCATTGATGTACATTTGGTAGATCAGGGAGAAGAAGCAATAACTAAAATAACATCTGAAAGATTAGTAGGACTCATGAGGCAAAGCATGGAGTAGGCCATTCAAATAGAGCGACCCCGGTAGGGAAGCAGCATGTGCAGAGGCTCGAAGGTGAAAGGTAAGAACAGGAACTTGAGAATATACTAGGTGGACTACGTAGCAGGGATATACTAGGTGGACTACGTAGCAGGGATATACTAGGTGGACTACGTAGCAGGGATATACTAGGTGGACTACGTAGCAGGGATGTGGTAAGGGCTGAAGCTGAGGGGCCGACAGGTCGGACCGTGATAGATCCTGTAGCTCCTACTCTTGAGTTTGGATTTTATCCTAAAAGTAATGGTGAGGCACTAAAAAGCTTTAAACAGAAGCATGTTACCCTGTAAGGTTTGCATTTCAGAGCTGTTACTCTAGCTGTAAGATGACTGAAGTTGGATAGACCAGAGGAAGAGATCTTTGTGTCTTAAACCGGGAGGCAGGTGCTGGTGATGGAGGGAAGTGTTAGGTAGTAGATGTAATTTTAAATTTACTTGGTAATTTTTTTTTTATTAAATCATAGCTGTGTACGTTAATGCAATCATGGGGTACAATGTGCTGGTATTATATACAATTTGAAATGTTTTCAACAAACTGGTTGACATAGCCTTCATGGTGTTTTCTTAGTTCTCATGTTAATTAGTTGGTGATTTTTTGTTGGAAGAAGAGACAAGAGTTAGGCATGATCCCGACGTTTCTGGCCTAATGTTGTGAGATTAACGAGTGGAGAGAAAAAACCGTGTAAGAAGTGCCAAAGAAGCAGAGTAGAGCAGAATGTAACTGACTCACTTCTGGGCATGTTTATGTCCAGGTTCTTGTGTACATAAGTGGAGATGTGGCCACTGGAATTATGTGTTTGATTCTTCTTAGAGGGACCTAGGCTGAATATGATTTAGAACTAGTCAAGATATAGATGGAGTAGCTGAGATTGCCTGAAAATATGTAGAATTTCTAAAGTTTGCAAACTCTAAAGTACATTCAGATGTTAAACTTTATTAGTAATCTATTAAAGTATTTTATATTAGTGAAGTTGTACCCTTAGAACTTCAAAAGGGTACTACTATTTCCTTTTTCAAAAATAAGCTTTATGTTGAATTCCTAATTATCAAAGGCATATAAATATGATAAATACGATATAAATGAGAACAATGCAGTGTTCTCATTTGTCGTCTGTATGACTAGTAATTAGCAGTGCAGATGTTTAATTATATTATTATTTTATACTGAGAGCATATGAGTAACAGTTATCTTTCTTAACAGCAAATAAATGCTTTATAATTGTTGTAATTCCTCAGTAATGTAGCTTTTTTTATTACAGCTTTTGATTGGTTTTGAATCTGGAACGGTAGTCTTATGGGACCTCAAATCAAAGAAGGCCGACTACAGATACACATATGACGAGGTAATAACATTATTTTTGCTAGTAAAAATTGTGATTTCTCTGATTCAAGAATGGCTTCCCTGAGAACTTAGTTGGCAACCCTTGTAACTGCAGTACTGTCCAACTTGTATTTTTAGAATAGGTCAAAAAATCTCCCTCCCTCTTGACAGGTGGTCGTCTGTTTCCTTGATCCTTTCCAGGTACCATGTGACCATTTCCCTTGTGTTCCTCCAGGAGTCTGTGCCTTTATAAGAAGTTTTATAAATATATTCTCTTTATTCTTTTATGTAAATGATAACATCCTATGGACATTTATAGTTTTTGCAAGCTTTCAAATCCAAATAAGGATTGATGTGACTGAAAAGTCTTTAATTCTCCTTTAATCTGTAGGCCTCTCCTCTTCCTCCTTCCTTCCCTTTCTCATTCTTTGTTGTCACTTGTATGTTGAAGGTGGGATCTCCTAAGGGCTCACTTTCTCTGATGGCATCCCCATTGTCATTAACGTCGTTTTGATACCTTCAGATCTCCTATAAATTTGATATTTTACTGAGGCTTGATCAAATTCTTGATCACAAATTTTCCTTTTTAGCCATACTATGTAGATGATGCTGATGCTCTCTCTTCCGAGGGAACCTTAGTGTCTATGACTGTTTCTGATGCTGGCAGCAGGTGGTGCTCAAGGCCTAGACCTGTTATTGTATAGTAATTGCCAAATAGGAGATATTCTAATTCTGTCGTTTCTTCTCTGCTGACGAAGCTTGGGCTCTTTAGTAAAGAGAGCCTTCTTTTTATCTGCTATTTCTTTTATATAGTAGTACAGTTAATATTTGCAAAGCAGAGGCAGATTAGATGCTTCATACTTTCTCTTTATTTTAGTATTTACTCTAGAGTTGTTCTCTAGTAGTTTTAGTGGTGAGCAATTTATTCTAATTTTTTTTTCATTATGTGCTCAAATGATTAAATATGTTTCATGTGCTTCAGTGCAAGGAAATTATATTCCTTATTTCTTTTCAAATCATCCTGTCTTTGTCAATGAACCTCTTCCTGTTGACTTCTGAGACCTTTGGTGATAACCGTAGTTGTCTTGGATAGCTTCCTTGCTGTCTGGTATAATAAAATATGTCTCTTTTGTATTTCTGAACCAAACGTAGAATAAGATATTTTTCCATGGAACTATGACTTCTTCCGGTGTGAAATGGCATCTGGTAATAGTTTGGGTATCGGGAGTATTTGTGCTTTCCAATTCAGTGCCCAGAGCTATAACTAGAAAATATGTAAATGGTTTTTTTGTTTGTTTTTAAGATAAAATGCATAATTTCTTCATAGTCATATATTCAGTTATAGCAGAGTACATTGTTTAACTATAACAATACTTTGAATACTTTACAGATGTTTGTATGTTATCTGTGTAAGCGTGACTGGGAATATCCTTTGTTTTTAAATGTAAACTTTATACATTTATACACTTTTTGCTGCTCACTAGTCATGATCTTCAAATTAAAAGACAACAAACATGTTTTGAATAGAAGAGTTTCTATCATTTTTATGGAAGTTTTGGCCTGTAGTGCTATTTTCCATATTAAAATGAAAACAAATATGTAAAATTGACTTTTGGGGGAGGCTGGGAGCGGTGGCTCATGCCTGTAATCCCAGCACTTGGGATGGATTTCCAAGTGGGTGGATAGCCTGAGCTCACAGATTCAAGACCAGCCTGAGCCAGAGCAAGATACCATCTCTAAAAAAAATAGCCAGGCATTGTGTTGTGGTAGACAAGTGTAGTCCCAGTGACTATAGTCCCAGCTACTTGGGAGGCTGAGATGAGAATTGCTTAAGGCCAAGAGTTTGAGGTTGCCAATATGAGCTATGACACCATGGCACTTCACCAAGGGTGACAAAGTAAGGCTCTGTCTCAAAAAAAAACTTTTTTGATTTTGTGTTTTGCAGTGTTAAATAGTGATGATGGTTTGAACCATTATGAATTCACAGGAAGTAGATTTACCTTCTTGTTGCCTTAAACAAAGAAACTGGACAGATTCTCTGACAGTTTGACAGCAGGTAGTACAGAACAGAATTCCTCAGAGAGGGGAAACAAACAAGGTGACTTAGGCCTGGAGAGATTTTCTAGGGCTTAGTACGTGAAGGGGGAGCCTAAGTCGGAAGCCCTGCAGACTTGCTCAGTAGAAGGGAAACAAGCAGGGGGCAGGGCTTCAGTCACCTGTAAGGCAATGTACTTCTTTGTTCAGTAAGAACAAAGAGCTGCCTGCAGAAGAGAATTTGGGACCGGGCCACTGCCACGGTCTTATTTGAATACAGATTGGTGTGAGGGTTGGAGAAGATCTACTGAAAAAGAGAACCATTCCTATAATACATACAGGACTGAGAATAGTTCACATTTCTCAAAGAGTGGAGAAACCTTACAATACAGAGGGTATAAGGAAGAGTATTTATAAAGGTACTCGGTGCCTCGGTAGTGAGACTACACTGGCCCTATGCTAAAGGCTAACCTGGTCCAGCCTAACAAAGCTTAAAAACAAACTTTGAAAGGACCAGACTGTTTTTAAGTATATTACTGTATCCCAGAAAAAAATATTCAAAGACATTTAAAATAATATAATAATAACCCAATATAATTCTGCAATGTCTGGTATCCAAATATAAATTTATGAGTTATGTAAAAATACAACCTATAATGAGGAGAAAATGCAAATAGAAACAGACTTAGAAAGGGCAAAGATGACAGAATTTAGTAGCAGGGATATTAAAACAAATATTAGATCTACTGTGTGCTCTGTAAGGTAGATTAAAACACAAACATGTTACTGACGGACATGAAAGACTTAAAAAACACAAAGGAGAATTTCTAGAGATGAAAAATAAAATGACTAATATGAAAAATACTCTGGCATTAAAAGGATTTGATACTGAAGAAGAAAACATTAATGAACTTGAGGACACAATAACAGAAACTGCTCAGTAGGAAAGGCTGGGAGAGAAGAGACAGAAAGTCAGTGTGTGACAGCGCAGCTCTCCATGCAGGTCGAGGTTGGATTTTGAATCTTAGAACGGGAAGGGTGGACAGAAAACATATTGAAGAAATAAGGACTAAAAGTTCTCCATGTCGATGAAAAGTATGACCCAGAGACTCAGAAGAACATGAAGAAAATTCCCCCAAAGCACAGTTTTCACTTGCTAACAACTGACAGAGCTCGTCTTATGAAAAATCAGAGAAATAAAAAACCACGTTAAATACAGAGGAGCAAAGAAAAGTGATAGCAGATCGTTTCAGTAGTATAAATAATGTAAGCTGGAGCAAAGTAGAATGCCAGCTTTATAATCCTGAAAGAAAAAAAGTGTCAACCTAAACTTTTATGTTCAGTGAATATATCTTTTCAAAAGCTAAGACAAAATAAAGACTTCAAGGTTATTTAGAAAAAAAAAGAATTTATCACTTGCTTCACTACACGATATGCTAAAGAAATCCTTCATGCAGAAGGCAAATGATATGAAATGGAAATTTGGATCTATTCAAAGAACGAAAGACACCAGAAATGGCAAATTTGTGGAATGTAGTAGATGTAAAAGCTTTCTCATTTTTATATTGCTTTAAGAGAGCAGCAAGTATTCTAATCAAATATAATAAAATGGCATTGTAGGGTTTATGACATATGTAGAATTAAAATACACACATCAGTAGCTCAAAAATTGGAAGATAAATACTATTGTTGCGTTATTATACTGTATTGTATGTGAAGTGGCGTAATATTACATGAAGGTAGACTGTGATAACATAAAGCTGTGTATTGCAGATCCCAAGGAAAACACCAAAGCAACAACAGCAACCCAAAAAATTAAACAAAAGAGGAACTGAGATGAAATTCAAAAAGTACCAAACCAAAGGAATGCAAAGAGGAAGAAAAGGGAAACGAATAGTTGGGTAAAATAGTGAACGAGATGATACATTTAAATCCAGTTATTTCAACAATCATATTACTGGTTTAAATATGCTAATCAAAAGGTAGAGATTAACAGGTTGCAGAAAACAACAAGATCTAAATACGTAGTACATACATAGTGTTATTATAAGAAAATCATTTTTAAAGACAGAGATGTGTTAGAAAAAAGGACAAATGGAAAGAGTAGTATTAGCAGTAATTAGAAGAAAGCTGAAATAGCTTTATTAATATCAATAAGCAGAAATGAGAGTGCTTCACCCCCAGAGCGCCAGCATGAAATAAAATATCATTTGTGTTTCTAGAAAGCTGAATTCTTTTGGGAATGTGAAGTTAATATGTTGACTTTAGTTTAGGAAATATAAAAATATTTAAGTAGAAATTAATTCCCAAACCATTTGTGAATAGTCTTATATTTGAATAAATTTGAAAAACGGAATTGTTCACTCTTCTTCCACAGGCTATCCACTCTGTTGCTTGGCATCATGAAGGAAAACAATTTATTTGCAGTCATTCAGATGGCACCTTGACTATTTGGAATGTGAGGTCCCCTACCAAGCCTGTTCAGACAATCACTCCACATGGTAAGAATGCATTGATTTTAAGCATCACCTAAATCATAGTGTAGAGTAAATGGTTTTGTTTGTATTTGCATTTGGATTTGTTTGTTTGGTTTGAGGATAAGGATGGGTCTCCTTCATTTTGAGAGAATTAAAAATATTTTCACATATGGAAATTTGTAACAATCAAGTAACAAAATCTGAAATTAAGCATATTTGTGGCTTAAATTGCAAATTTAGATTTTGAGAAAATGTTATGTTGTCTTCTTAATATAATTTTCTCTAGCAGTTCAAAAAGCAGGTAGTTTTTTGAGTTATCTGGGGCTCACTTTAACCTGTCATCTTGATGTTATATCATCGCAAGTTGTTAACCTATTCATAACAGTTACTTGAAATGCTTGGAACTTAACAGAAAGTCATTTTAATAATTGAAGTGTTGGGAGTCCTCAAGATCACCCCGAGTGTAAAATGATTCAGTAGGAAACTCAAAGGACTCAGCATACAATCATGTTCACTGCTGTGATTCCCTCACATATAAGCAGCAAAAGGACGTAAAGTGAAATCAGCCAAGGAAAAAAACACAGGGAGTGAAGTCTGAAGGAAACCAAGGCCCAAGCTTCTAAGAGTTCTCTCCTCAAGGAATTAGATGAACTAATTCCTCTAGCAATGAATTATTACCACATTTGTCTTACCAAATAAGGTCAACTGAACCTTTACAACCCCAAGGTTTTTGTTGGGGTTAGTCAGGTGGGCACCCTCTGCTTTAGTATGTTCCAAAATTCCCAATTCCCAAAAGGAAAGTGGGTTCAGCACGAACCACAGTCTTTGTGCACACAGGGTAGACAGGGAGCCACCCTTCTCAGTCAGGGAATGGTGGGAGTTTTCCTGAAAGCCAAGTTCTTAGACACCAACCAATGGCCAGCCTTCAAGCAGACCTTTCCAGGGATAGCAGGCTTAATGCTGCTGTATTAATAACTCTTTTGTGCATAAATCATATTTATAAAACTTACAAGATATTTTTATTAGGGTTTCTATTCAAAATAGACTATGAAGGCCTGTTTTTCTTTATTAATCTGCTTTTCTACACTTACTTCAAGAAAATCCTTTCTGACAAGTTCAAGGAAATCATATTAAAGGAACTATTTTATAAACTGCTAGTATATTGAAGAGAATCCTTATAGCTATTGCTCATACTGAATTTTATTGCTTTCTTTAAATATGAATACCTCTTTTGAAAAATTGATACATTTTTAAGTATTGTGATATATTATGGAAATTAAGTGGTAAAATTGAAAAGTTGTTTTATTTATCTGTGGCAGTATGGGTTTTAGACTTGTTTTCTGGGAAGAGTAACATTCTTAAAACCACATGTTATCACATACTTACCACTGCTTTTGTAACCACCCATCATCTGGGAAAGCACTTCATATTGCTGCAGGCATCAAGGGTAAGGGTTAGGTAGGTATTTCTTACGATATAGTAGATGCCAATTTTTTAAAAATATATTTTCTTTTTCTGCATAGACCCTAGGCCTTGATAATACTCCTTAAAAATGTATTTCTGTCTAGTCTGTCTGGGGATAAGCTTTCCTTCTCTTTTGGGGCCTCTCCCATGCAACAGTCTTTTGTTATTTGGGAGGGAATAACTGATAGTCCTGGCATCATTCACATTCTTATGCTGAATCAGGTATCTTGGTTTGCTGGGTCAGAGCCCTGTAGAATCCCCTCTGCAGTCCTGAGATGGGAGATGTGTGTTGCAGAGTGAGGTTTTTCATTTATTGTGAGCTTTACCAGAGCTTTCCCTAAAGAAATGGGGGTACTAAGGCCATCAAAATCCATAGACTTTCACTGTGGAAAGTGAGATTTTAAATTTAGTTTCTGGAGTTTATTCATCAGTGCAGTCAGTCCACTTATAGAGGAATAAACCAAGATCGGGGAACTTTTATTCTGTTACAGGACACTGAACATAAAATCAAAATAAAATCTGAACACTGTTACAGGACACTGAAAATAAAATCAAAGTTCACATAGGTAAAAGTCAGTTGAATGTGTTAAGAATGAGATAGATATACAGAGAATTCTGTTAATCAGCCAGGCAGGGTGGCTCACGCCTGTAATCCTAGCACTGTGGGAGGCAGAGGCAGGTAGACTGCTTGAGCTCAGGACTTCAGACCAGACTGACCAAAAGTGAGACCCTGTCTCTACTAAAATAGAAAAATTAACTGGACATTGTGGCAGGGGCCTGTAGTCCCAGCAACTTGGGAAACTGAGGCATGAGCATCTCTCCAGCCCCAAGATTCTGAGGTTGCTGTGAGACGCGATGACACCAGGGCACTCAACCCCAGGGCGACACAGTAGGACTGTGCCTCAAAAATAAAAGTTACTCTACTTTTAAGGTGAACAGAACTAATAACTGATTTGGGATCAAGGGTTTAGGACTTTTCACAAATTCGGAACATATAAACTTGGTCTTAAAGGATGAGACTGGTATTATAAGGTAGCAGAGACTAGGGCAAAGTTATCCTAGAAGGTGCAAAGCCACCAAGACATAAAAGCAGGGTATTGTTGGAAAACTGCTAATAGTGCAATACGATCAGAGTTTAAAATTCCTTTAAGCAGGTAGCAGCAAATGAAAACAAAATGTACACAGGTAAGATGATGCATAATTATGTTAAAAAAAGATTTGAACTTCGTTATAGAGACCCAGTACATGAGTTTACAATGAGAGACAAAGTTTTTATCTTTACAATATCACCTTAAATTATAAGAGCTGAAGACAAAAAGAGTGTGGCCAGTTAAGAAGCTTCTGCATTAATAAATGATAAGTAATGAAGATTTCATTATTTGGAAGTGGGGAGAAATGGACATGCATGAATGAAATTCTGGAATTAGAATCAATAGGACTTAGGCCAGTTTATGGTGGGTGGGTGGGAGGGTGGGGAGGGAAGGCATTGTAAAAACAAGAAGAAATCAGATGTGGCATGGAGGTTTTTGTGATTTATTAAGTCACATTTATAATTAATCTACCTTTTCATCATCGTCAGTGTCAGGGCAGAACACATAATTTTGCGCCTCTGGTGACATAGCACGTAGAGGTAAAACGCCACCTAGTGGTGAAATCTTCTTAAATGTTCTTTAATGTATATGTGATTTGATTTAGAAAATAGTCAGTCTAGGATTATAGATGAATAAATTAACGTTTCTGGACCAAAAGCAGTAATCAGTGAGATTATTTAAAACACTTGGGTTGGAAAAATACTAGAATATGCCAATCAAATGGACTCACTGTATGCAAAATTAATAAAAAATGATCATTGTAAAAACTACAATATTTTTGATTTACAGAGAGAATGAAACTATTCTTTTATCCTCTGGGGGGGGGGGAGCAGGAAAAAATGAGCATAAGGAATAAAGATCCAATGGATTTATTTTGAATGCTAGAATAGAGCAATGTCAAGAGTTAAGATTTTTTTACCTGGCCAGGTTTTATGTTGGATATATAAGCTCAGATTTGCAAGAGTTCACATCCGTGCCCTTTAAAATAAATTATTCCAGCCCCTTAAAAACTGGTGGTGAATACTGAAATAAGTTGAAGTCATTATGTCTGAATAATTGTTTTATTTCCTAAAACAAAGTAATTTTAAAAAATAAATGTACAATTTGAGTCTATAATTTGAGTATCCAATTTGCCCCTAAAGCCATGATACACAGGGAAAACAGGAAATGGTGGCTTTATTTATCTTTATTATATGATTCATTACAAAATTTTACAAAGAGGCAGCCAACACGTGTAGAATATTTTGTAAATATTTTGTAATGAGTATTGTGTGATAAAGGTACATTTAAATACACTTTTTCATTTATCCTGTGTATGACTACTTTAGGGGTGAATTTTGGGATATTTGGTAAAATCCCAGATTATATCAGTCTGTCTCTCCTACTAGAACTTTGTATGATAGGAGGAGGATAAAGGCGATGGCTGTCTTTATATTAACTATTTAAATCCATACATCTCTGAACAGTTTTGGAATAAAGGGTGAAGTTTTCAGTTTGTTCCTTGTACGGCACAAGTGACTGCTTTTTAGGTTTAAGCCTTCCTTTTCCATATCTTTTTCCTTTTACTCCTCAATTCTCTCTTCCCTGGGCAGTCAGTCCTCTCCAGTGGCTCCTTCAGTTCTGTGACTAGTCACTTTGTTGCTGGAATTTCTCTCTCAGCTGAGTCCTTGGTCTTGGAGTTTTAAGAATGAAAGAAACCACAGACCACACTGATAAGCAACATGACAGTTCATTGACAGGTAGAGAGATTAATGAGCATGATGAGCAGCAGAGGCACAACAGAACCTCTGGCAGCAGAGGAGGGAACCCAAGTGGGAAACCCCCGGAGTCTTCAGACGAGGGGTTTAAATGCTGCTTTTCCTGTCTTGTGGGAAGGGGTTCTTGGGGAAGTGTGTCACAATTGGCCTGGGGGCAGAAAATAGTCCTAAAAGTAGCCCAGGAATAAGTCTTTGCAGTTTCTGCCTTAGCCAAGGAATTCGGGTGTGTGCTCCCTACTCAGGGAGCAACCTTTTAGGTTGCTTTGTTCATTCAAAACCCAAATCTCTTGTGTCCAGAGATAAAGATCTGTTTTCTGAGGTCACCCAGAGAATGGGGGGTCTTCTAGCCCTGAGTGGGGGAACCCTCTATCAACTTCTAGGTTCTTCTAACTTGGGCTTCCAGAGACTTAATATTCGATACCCTGTCATTTCTTTGTAAGAAGGGAAAAGGGATGATCCCCTAGGACCTTACATTAAGACCAGATTAGATGTTCCATTATCAGTTTACAGATTAGAAATTTAAAAATATGGATGACATTTCATATCAGTAGGGATAGAACAATTATTCAGTAAACGGTACTGGCAGATATATGTCAAAACTCATCAAATTGTACACATTATTTTCTAGCAGTTACAAATCAATAAAGCTATAAAAATGGCACTCATGGTTGATAATTTATTATTAGGAGAAAAATGTCTTCTCAGTACCAAAATATACATGACAGAATAATTAAATTTAATAAAATAAACTAGAAAACAATTATAAGAAACCAAAATTTAGTGATTTTTCTGTGAGAAAAACTTTCTAAACATAAAACTGAAGAGGGGACTAATTTTTTTTTTTTTTTTTTTTTTTTTTTTTTTTG